AATTTAGTCTCTTTTCAAATTGTTTCATTCATAGCTTTATTAATTGAAATTATTTTATTAATATGATATTGTATTTTTAATGTTATCTTACATTAATATTGTTTTTATTTCCTTACGTTTTTGCATTTATAGTTTTTCTAATTTTAATTGTTTTCTGTTTATTTAACCAGTTGGAGAGCCCCTCAACAGAAATTATATTTCCTTTGCCCAATCCAGCTGAAGTTGGTTAAATATTGCTATTATGTCTTGTTTATAATGTTTAAATATATCTTGTGTGAGTAAAATATCTTTGTAAGTGTATCCCGAAAATGAAACAATAGCTCGGTTGGTAGAGCACTGGAACAGTATTCCGGAGGTGGGAGGTTCAAATCCTGCTACAATCAATTTCTGTGTTCATCTTTAAGATTATATATTAATTAATTTGAAGCTAACAAATAAAACAATGAAATGTGAGTGTCTCTCTAAAGCTTCATGTTACTGGTACGGATTGAATCACTCACACACGTATTAAGAAACACGAGAAGAGAGCAGATGTGATTGGTTGTGGTAACTTGTGACTTCTATTCTCATTGGCCAAACAGCTTGCATCACTGAGTGGTCCTTCCAGTACCAGTTGTACTTTCAAGTTGAAATGGGTACCCAACGGGATTCTCCAATGTCTCCATCTTTTATAAACTTTAATGACTAACTCGATAATGGCTTCAAAGACCAGAGGGAGAGCAACAACAGCGGAAAACATATTCCTAAACTCTGGATAGACTTACACAATCAGATGAAAAGCGCGAACTTTTTTGTGCGTAAACTTATGACATGGATTGCTGCACAAGTTTGCCATGAACTAAGCACACTGCACACAGGTTGAAGTCTTTAAGTGTACATTTGCTGAGGACCACACAACAACGCTGTTTTTACAAGGGACTGAAGGTTGTCCTTGGTAACCAGGCTGTGCACGACCACAAAATAAGACCCCACAATTGTCATGAAATGGTTAATCTTTATTTTTCCAACCAGTCTTATGTATCAGTACATCATTTGAACAAGTACCGTCAATCTGCCTTTTTGCATACAATAAAAAAAATGTACGTGTCAATGAAGTACATTTTTTGACAGTACATTGAACTGTCAAAAAATCCAAACTTTAATTCACAATTGCTCATAGTTGCAAGAGAGGTAAAAAATCAAGGCATTTTTGAGGTCAGGTTGAAGATGAACAAAACTTTCTTCACAAAGGCCCCTTCCAGTCATTCTAAACTACTTGCATAACTTTTATCATAAAGTCATGTCTGAAATTCTTTTTTAATTACAGTTAGATGGCAAAATCTAAACTAGCGAAAGGTGTTTTTGTACATCAAATTGAAAAAAAAAAGCAAAGCATTTCCCTGTGTACCCTTCGTGATAGTTTTCACCTTATTTCAAAGGGACATGATTCATTTATGCAAAATGTTTTAAGACCTGAGCTTGATAAGCAGTCAAACGTCAAAGCTGAATTGACTCATGTTGCCGCTATTTCTGAATGCACATCGCACAAGATGGCTATTTCAGCAATATGAGAAACCGACACTGCCATGTTTACTTTGCCAAGTTCCCACGAAAAGGGTGTTTGCATGGCTGCTATCTTGCAGGCCGGTGCTTTTGTTCCACAGGGGTATGCACAAAGGAATTTCCCTGTGGGACAGAACAACTGCCCTCCAAGATGGCTACCACACAAAACCTCCATATAATACACTCTCACATCAATGTTTGAGTTGGATGATGAAATTTCAACTGAGAGTAAAATGTATCGTGGTCAGTCAACATTAAAGGATACTGATCTATATAAAGCTTTGATCTCTGGGATTTAGATCTTCAGTTCTTTTGTTCAATCTGGCATAGTCAAGAATAATGTTTTCCTACTTTTCTCCCGGGCGTGAAAGGCTGGGGACTCAACTGAGAGGAAAACCTCCTCAGGGCATCTGCTTCATCATAAAGTTCACTGCCAATCGGTACTTTCAGAGTCTTTTCCCAAATGTTACATGCAATTACTCATCATCTGTGGATATTCCTTCATTGTTGGATAGACCACATCCAGGCAAATCAATCTTGGACAAGAATGCAGTGCCTGGTGTGATACCCAGTGAAAGACAAAGGGGAAAGAGTTGGAGGCACTGATTTCTATATGCTGACTGGACAGCGGATAGACAGCGAGGGCTGGAGGCGCAACATTTACACACAGGTGTGTTGAAGACTGATTGAGAGGCTTCATATCTTGGGTCTTGTCTGATTGTATAACGACTTACTGTAAATCATATTGATTGTAAATCATATTGAAATCTGAGGATTGAATTATTCAACTTGCATGTGGTACTTCTTGGGATAACTGCATTCGAGTACAGTTTACTATGCTCTACCAAACAAACAGTAGCCATCTTTGGTGGTCCAGAGAAAATGACTCGAGGAGGTCCCATTTGTTTGTGCACTGCAATGGGCACTGGTGCTATACTGTCAGTAGACAGAGATCAGTAGTGAAGCAAGAAGCACAGGCAAGCAATTGAATGTCATGAAAACAAAAGGTTGCTCTGAACACAATGTGTTTTCATGATTTCATGACTCGGCAATACACGCATGGTGTCAGCAGTAAAAATGAACTGTACAACCATTGGACTAAGGGTACTTTATGGAGCCATTTCTGTCATGAACCCATATCTAGATGCATTTTGTCAAAACTGGATGGCACTACTCATTTTGTGTGCATTCAAGTGAAAACCTGTCATGCACATTCCGTATGAGATGATACCCACTTCACTGTCGTGGCTAGACCTCACATCAATGGCAGCATGGAGTCTACATGTGGCAAGAAGTGGAAAGCCAGAGAGACACATACAGACAAGCCCACTTTTGGCAATGTTGGCGTGTGGACCAACTCTTGGAAAAAAATGCTCCAGTGTCACAATATCTTAAGGGCTTCCAAGAGGGGTAAAATGAAATGACGGCCTTTTCCTGCATCTCCTGAGATCAATGAACTACTGCACTGCCTGATGATAAAATGATGAGGGTGTCCGAGGCTGAAAGCGTCAGCAGTGGGTGGTGGGAGCACAGATGTATTTCAGCCAACCAGCACCATTTTTCTTTTGCTTTCAGGAGGTGTTTTTTTTATTTACAAATTCCGGAGAGTGTACCTTCCAATTCGACTGTCAAACATGGTTTCCTGGTTGGCAGGGTTCTGCCTGGTACTGCTTGCTGCCTGCTGCTGCTGGTGTTGTTGCTGCTGCTGCTGTTGCTGCTCTCGATTGAAATTGGGCATTGACATCGGAACGGCAGTTCCGTCCCCCTTCAATTCCTGGAAACACTTCCAGTTGTCCAGGTAGTTTGCTTAAATACAAACAGAGAATCATGAGTTTTGGATGCCTGAAAATCAGCTGGAGGCTATTCAAAACATGCAAAGTTTGATTATTAAAAACACTTTCTTTTAAGACATCTGGTGACAAGGATATCATTGGGATAAGAGGAGCGGCATAAGTCATTTCAAAGTCAAGTTTTTATGTGATCAAAGACAGTGCATTCAATTATTTCGCTATGCTTACTTATGCAAACGTGACTGCATTCAATTTGACACATACGCATGTTTAACAACTGCCACTTTGACATAGCAAATAGTGCCCTCTTTTTTGGTAAACAGTCCTCCTTTTTTTCTGCAATAGCACTCTCTTTGGCAGGGCCTTTAAATTTTCATTTTTTTCTTTGCACAGAAATTGGAATGTTTTGATTATTTATGGTCTGAAAACTTAAAAAATGGTCATGGGTAATTCTAGAAATTAGGGATCCAAAAGTGTGACATTTTGTGTCCCTGTTACATCTGACCTTTGTTATCTGACATGGAAATATCACTGGAATAGATTTCAAACTATTACTATTTGTTTGGCAGGTAATTTGCATTAATTCATCACTCTTGGAAATTAAAAAAATATTCTAATTAATTCAACGTGAGCTGAACTTACAAAATCATATGTCAAATGTAACAGGGACACATAAAAATGGACCCCTTATTTCTGGTATTACCCCCATAGCTGCAAACACTTTAATTAAATTAGAATCCTTGGCAGGTATGGCTTATGCATATACACACTTGTTAACATCTCCCCCCCCCCTGCACAATTTATGAATGCCTTCTAAAATGGAAATTATCTGCTGGATAATTTACACTTTACAAACACACATAACTATTTTGACACTTACCTTTCCAAAGTCTGACGTGGCCATCGTCACTTGACGAGGCAAGGATGGTGCCCGTTACGTTCCAACTCACTCGCCATACCTACGAAGGGTTAAAGGATCAAACATCAGTCTAACCAGTGGTACTCACTGGTAATTAAACCTTCAGCTCCAGTGACATCACATGCCACAGGAAGTAAAAGTGAAAAATTTACAGAAGTATTCTAGAGGAATAAACAGCAGCTGTCCTAAAAACTTCCTGCCGGTTGGAATTTAAATATGCGGGACGAGTTCCCGAGTGATTTTCAAGATTTTCTGTTTTCACAAATCTTCAAGAATTCATAACTTCATTTACTGGAAGTTTACACTCACATGAATGCCTGTCTGGTGGCTACTCTAACCTGACAGGCAACCTCCATTGCAGCCAGGCCTGCCGCCCAGTAAAGAAAGTCCAGATTGTGCGGTGTTGCATAATTTCTTTTGTTCCCAAAATTGGCTCAGTGTGTTGGTGAATGTCAGTGGCATCTTTTCAAATGTGGCCGGATTAGCCTGCAGTAGTACTGTATCGCTCATTGCTAGAATGCTGGAGCACTTTTGTCCACACTGATAATCCACCGGTGCTGCATGCCGCAAACAGTGGTATACTGTTTCAAAACAGATGGATTACCTCTGCTAATGCTATTATTAAATAATGGTAATTCCCAGCAGCGGGTCTTTTGTATTCCAAGTGTGCTCTTTTGTTACAAGGCCCAGCTCCTTTGTCTGATTTCAGGCAGCTCGGCTATGCGTACAAACCCAAGGAGTCCATTGGGCCCATTTATAACGCNTAGGATGCTCGGCCAAAGAGAGAATGTATTTAGCATGCGCGGGCAAAAAATCCCCCCGATCGACACAGGCACTGTATAGCAGGGCCCATGCTGCCCACGCTTGGGAACATGAGCTGGCAAAATGACGGGCAAATCGGACCGGGCTCGAGCATCCGCAATGGCTACGGGAGAGACCTGGAGGGAGCGGTAGGGCGAGGTGGAGAAAGAGAGTTCAGGGAGGCCGGAGGGCCCGACTAAGTACGCCAAACGTGCCTTGGCCAGTGCAACTTTGCAACAAAATGTTTGAAGTTTCACCTACTTCTTTAACGAATGTTTCACCTCTGACATTCAGTAATTGATTGAACATCTGAGTATCAGAATACTTGGCATAGCCCTAAAAGTTATGATGGAAGTACAAGAGTAGACTTAACCAGACTGAGAATGATGGTGATGACGCAAGGTACCTATCCACATGTATGTCTTCTGGGTGTAATGCTTACATGATGCATTCATGTGTTTCACTTGCACGGACACAAAAATCTACTCTATTCACATAACGCAGGTGTGTGTTGCATTAGGCAGTTAAAATCGCCTCAGGAGCCATTTTGATGGATACGCAACTCTTGGCGCAAGTGTCGACACGCATATTGAAAGGCCCCGTAACTTGAAAAAACAGTGATTATTAAAGGAGTGGTGGTGACATTATGGGTGATGGCCTTCTTGAGGCCAGAAACTAGGCAATGACTAGTGATGCCATTGGAAATAAAAGGTGAATGCCAGCAATGATGATCTCATTATGACAAGCAAGACAAGAAACAGTGATGACGACACTTTTTGGCCATAAACATGAAAACGCTTAACACATAGGTGACGATGGTGAAGATGACGGCAGTAACAGTGTTCACAATGAAGCAGATGACCTACTTTATTGATGTGCAGGATAATGATAAATAGGACACAGATGGCACTGATCACATTGACAATGATCATGACGACTACAATGATGGCAGTGACGGTAATATTGTGGTCATAATCATTGTGGGAGCTAAAGACTGCAGGGATGAAGATCCTGATTTGGATGTACTACATGATGTGCTGCAAAATTTACGGTACCTGTTGGTTGTTATGATCTAGTTGAGCTGGCTGTTTGATGTCCAGTCCAATGGATCCCATTGTGGTGCCATCGCGTCTAGAGACAGAGAGAATGAAAGAAACTAACAATCCATGGAGGTTCTACTCAGTCACTAAGATGGATAGAACGGGGGGAAAAAATCTAAGTGCACACAGAGAACATGAACATTACCAACACTGCCACTCTTAGGGTGCAAAATAAGTTATAACAGGGCCCATTTACATAGATGGGCAATAACCAAATGCAGTGATGAGAAATGGGTATTAGATTGCTACAGTCAGGTTTAAATTCCTCATTCCTGGCTGGGCTGGGCCGGGCGAGCCCCTCTAGGCCCAAATTCCCTATTTGTATGGCGCTATACTGAGTGAACAGATGGTATGTACTGGCCTATGATATATTGGGTAGACCCTTCCATGCTAAGGCCTCTGTTATTCATACCACCCTGGGCCGGTGGACTGCTGATATCGCTGAAAGTTAAGCTGCTGCAGTTAAGTTTACATGGGCATTCTGCTTTGGTGTGGTCATGATTCATCTCTACACCCTGAGCACTTTCCCTGCCATCTGCCATCTCGGTACGATATCTTTGAAGAATCGTTAAGGTTTCCAAATACAGCGCTTCATCATCCAGTACAACAAGGATGATGAAACAAATAGCAGCCGGACGTGAAAGGATGTTATGACATGTGCCCACGCCAATACCACAGGCTTACCATCTCTGCCCATGATATGTGCCCATGCCGATACCACAGGCTTAGGGCCGGCGACCAATTAGACCCGGTTTGAAAAGGGCCCCCCGGTAAGCTCGCCCGGTTGCAAAAACCCCTTTCACACCGGCCTGGCTACCAGCCTGGGATGCTGGACTGGTTGTTGGTCTCGAAGTACTTCATCCTGGGGTCTATTATTTGCAAGTACTGGTACATGTAATCTATCCCAGAAGGAACCTGCTTGTGGTTTTTAATCCTTCAGCTCTATACAATGTTTACACTAATCCGCTTAGACCCCTATTCATCTGTGCAAGCATGTTGGGGGAAGCCTTTCATCAGGGACTTTGAAATGCCAATGTGCAGACAGGCCTCATACCGGCCTGGAGTAGGCTGAATACCGGGCAGGCATTATACCGGATGGGCTACCGGGGGGCCCTTTTCAAACCGGGTCTAAATGGTCGCCGTCCCTTACCATCTCTGCCCATGATATGTGCCCATT